TGAAATTATTTTGTTAAGAGTGAACTGGTTCCAGAAAAATACTTCATTATAAGCCATCTTCGTTAAAGTGAGAGTTCGTTAAAGTGAATATTATGTATATATAAAAATACTATAATTAAATATTTAGATTTGCTTTTAAGTTATATTTAGAATTTGATATATTTGCTTTTCAAAATTGATTTGATATATAATAAGTAAAGTCAAGAATTTAACATTAGGTTATCTTAAACTTTGATTAAGTTACTTAACTAAATACTTGAATAGTTAATTTTTTAAATTAATACTTAAATAAAATTAATATTTTATTTATTATATTTAGTATTAATTTTCTAAATCTATTATTATAGCTTAATATAAAAAAAAAACAATTTTTTTTTACTACTATTGAAATAAAATTATCTTTTATTTAATATATCTAGTATTGATTTTTTTATTGAATTTATTATTAGGATTTGAGGTAAAAAAAAAAATAACAATTATATTCAAAAAAATATACTATATCTTTAAAGTTATTATTTAAATATTTGAATAAAATCTTATTTATAAATTAAAGATAAAATAGGCTTAAACAAGTAGACTTTATTAATATATTTTTTATTTCAAGAAAAAATTTATAATTATAACAATTTTTTTATTTTTGTTATACTTGTTATATTATATATCATGTGATTGAAATATCTTGAAATATTTTAAAATACTTGAAAATACTTTAAAACTTTCTGAAATATATTTAAATCTTTTGAAATCTTACAAAATATTATAAATCATTTTTTGTCCATATATAGTAACTTATAATAGAGAATTATTTGGATTGTTCTGGTGATTAAAGAGTCTTATAAATAGACTATTTTTTATAGATCGAAAAGATAAATAATTTGATTGATAAAACTTTCTTATCAAATATTACTTAGGAAATATTTTCAAAAGGAAAAAGAAGTTTTATAGGATCTTTCTAATAGTAGAAAGAAAAGTACAGATGGCTAAAAACATTGATTGCACAATTATCAGTAAGAGTTTTACATGTTTATTGGTAGTAAGAATCCAGTCAAGGGTACAAGAGGTTGATTGTATTATGGAATGTTCTATCCTAAGGAGTATACTTGTAATAGTTGACTGTATAATTCTATAAAACATAATCTCCCATATGTATTGCTAGATCAGATTAGGCAAGATAAGGCTGAATTCGATTTCCAAGTGAATTTGATATACTAATATACCCTCATTCTTCAATAATAGCTCAATGACTAATTCTAGTAAGTCTTAACTAAACTGAACAGTTGAAAAACTGTAGTGGTAACTATAGGCAATAATTATTAAAGCAGATAGCAAAGGTTTATTTGTTTTAATATAGCAACTTATATACTTTCAATATCTATACTTAGAGGCTTAGGCCTAAGATAAGTATTTAGGATTAACAATTGTTTATGTATTTCAGAGAAACACTAGAAGATTAAGAAAATGATAAAGGATTCTTAAGTTAATTGCAAGTAAAACAAAAAAAATAAAATAAATCATTTTTTTAATATATAGTAGAATAGTATTAGATATAGGACTTTATTGAATAATTATCAATTTTATATTATATCAAATATTATCTATTGTTATTGCAATAGCTAAATGTTAGCCTATCTACTTATTGCTTCAATAATATTAATAACACTTATGAAGTGGATTTATATTTTTGGGGGAACCTATCTAAAAAATAAAAATCCTATCACTAGTTTTAAACTATCTAACCTATCAGTTCAATTTTGTATAAGAGCAATAAATATTGCTAACTATTTTCTAAGATTATTTATTATATTATATCTTTTCACTTATGCAATTAATATAATAAAGGAGTCCAATATGGATATATATTTTTTAGTAAATGCTTTGATTTTGATTTATTGGTTGATACTGACTACCAAATCTAGAGACTCTTGTGATTAAGTGAAGTATAACTTCTTATATTTCCTAATAGATACTCCAATTCAGAACCAGTTGATATAGGTTGTTAAATCTAGGGGCATAAATGTCAAGCAGGTTACAATTCCTATATACATGGTAAGCCATTGGATAAGTCATATCACATAAGATGGTAATGTCAGTTCAGTGCTCTTCTTCAAAGCTTCTTTATTTGACAATCAGCAGGAAAAAAATTTATTGTGCAGATTTGTTAATATAAAGTACAATCCAATCTATACATCCAAATAAATAATTATTTTTGATAATTGATAAGGATTGATTAAGATGGAGTACAGTCCAGTCTATATATTTAAATATATGATGATATTTTTCATTAAATGATTATTGTAACACTAATCAGATGATTATCATACTATTTTATCTTAATAAAAAGATTATAATCTTAATGTCTATTGGATCAGCATATAAACTAACTTCTTATAAGAAACAGTATATAATAGGTTATGATACTAGATATCATATTAATTTTGTTTAATCACCTTCATATAGAATTGAATTGATATCTTGTGATCTAATCTGTATAATACTAACTATTGTACTATGAATTCATAGGTTTTATTATAAATTATTTTTTATTACTAATTATATTTAATTACATTTACATATATTTATTTAAGAAATATAATATTTTTTTTCCTCTAATCAAACTACTATTAATATATTTATTAATTCATTCTGAAAAACAATAATATTATATACAATATGATATTATACAAAGCTAAACTATCTATTATAGCAGAATACCTGTTAACAAGTTTCAAATTTGTATATGATTCTTGAATCTTTAATATCAAGACCACCATATTGTTCATATAATCTAACTATTTACTAACTATTTCATTACAAAGAAGTAGATTTATTAAGCTATTATTGTATGATACTAACTATTTTACACTTTTCAAATTCTAACTTTTTAGATATGATTGTAGAAAATAATAATGTTGCTACTTTTAGGAGCTAGATATTAAAATCTTCACTCCAAGAAATCAAAACCAACCTACATTCAAATTGTCACTTCAATACAACCTTGTTGTTTTAAAAGGTAAAAAAATTTTTTTTTTTTTTAAAGAAGTAAAGGAAGAGTAAAAGAGAAAGAAAAAGTTTGTATTAGTAAATAAAAACCTATTTAAACCAATTACTAGCTTAATGAGAGTCTTCTTTGATCTTAAGGAGAAAAGAAACTGGCACAAAAGGGAAGGAGGAAGATTTCAAGCCACTTTTTATCAAGAGGACACCTTGATACCTTGCTCTTTCGCCATTATTCAATTGTATTATAAGTTGTAATATAGTATAACATAGAATATATGAAAGTATGTATCTTGTTTATTTTTTTTTTATATATCAATTAACCAGTTCAAAAATTTTAGCCAATTATCAACCAGAGATTTTGATGTAACAAAAAATTTAGGATCAAACTGAGATAGGCAAAATTCCTCAGAAAAATCAAAAAAAAATTGTCATACTTGAAAGTAAAGATGGGTCCCTAAAATATTTAGCATATAAAATTTACGTCTCTTTACGTCCACATCCCCTAGAGGACATAATTCCTAGCTCTTTACTTCAATAGGGACATAATTCCAGAAATGATTTATATAGATGCTTAAAACTATAAAGAACCTTTGTAGGTAGTTTTTTTTTATTCCTTAATATAGAAATGAAAATTTTTAATAGTAAGGGACATTTGAATTATGGTCGCTCTCAACAGCTCATCCCTCCTTCCTGAAATGGAAAGTGGAAAAAATAACCTCTCAACAGTTAGATTTGATTATTTCTATTTTTAAAAATTGACGTAACTCAATATCATATGAAAATCAATTATCTGATATCTAATTTATTTGTAATTAAAAAATTATAAAAAGTGCTGATGCCAATATCGTTTGTCAAAATTTTTACTAATAAAACATGCTACTTACTCAAAAACAAAAATCTATTATTATTGCCACAATTACTGCAATTATTGAATCTACTATTACTCAGAGAAATAAATATACACTATTATTGGAAACGGATGCCCTTATACTCATTGATAATGAAAATAAAAATAAGAGAATTATTTCGCGAGTTGGACGGATTGTACGTCCAAAGACATATGGTTTTTGGGTTGATATTTTTCCTTACCTTAATGATGAGAATGAGCACAATAATTTTAGAGCTCATTTTCGCATCAAACGATCTATGTTTCATAGATTATTAGAAGTAATTTCTCAACATTCCGTTTATCAATTATCTAATTTTCAAACTCAAACACATATCGAAATTCAAGTGGGAATTGTTTTGCAACGGCTTGCAAATCCGATGGGTTATCGTCAATTAGAAACCTTGTTTGGCATTAGCCAAGGCTCAGTTCAGAATTTTACTCAACGTTTTTTTCAGTCTGTTCTTGATATGCTTAAAAAAATTATTCGATGGCCTGCAGGTAATGTGCTTCAAGAAACAGTTGAAGGTTTTTCTCCTCCAGAATATACGAATCGGCTTCCAAATGTAATTGGTGCTATAGATGGATCGCATATTCCAATCCAGCAATCTAAAACATTATATCACAATCGTTATATTAATCGAAAAGGATTTTATAGCATTGTTTTGATGGCGATAGTAGATCATACAGAAAGATTTACTTACATCCATTCGGGACAACCGAGAAGCATGCATGATGCAAGAGTTCTCAAACAGACAAATTTTTGGGCATGGGTTTGTAATGTATATATTTTTATATTAATATTAATATATTGAATAGAATTTAATACTTACATAAACCTATATAGAATCCGTCTAGTTACTTTCCAAATGATACGCATATTCTTGGTGATTCAGCATTTCCTCTTTTACCCTGGCTTCTTATCCCTTTTAAAGAGCAATCCGGAAGAAGACTTACTACATCTCAACGAAAATTTAATAAAGCCCTTTCTTCTGCTCGCATGGCAGTTGAACGGGCATTTGGAAAACTCAAATCCAGGTGGCGCATTCTCAAAAATGCTATAGAAATTACTGATATGGAAACAATTGTGGACGTAATCGATGTATGTTGTATTCTTCACAATTTATGCATTGATTGTGATGATATCTGGGACACTGACGAATATGATCAAGAACGTATTGGTGATGGTAGTGGAGAAATAGTAGATATTAATGAAGATATAAATTCGCAAAATTTACGTAATGCTACACAGAAAAGAAACAACCTAGTTAGTCTGCTATACTCAGACTAACCCATTATTCACATCTCCACATTGAAGTATAAAAAAATGAGCAGTTTTTCGTAGGGTGTTAACATCTCGAATTATTAACTTTTACAAATAATTTTTTTGATTTATTGAATTATTAATAAAATTTAAATTTTTTGATATGCTTGTTTAATCTTTTGACATATGTTTATTCATTCTCCTTAATTGCCGAAACCAATTCTCCTAAAATATTTAACAATTTGTTTTGAAATTCGTGATTTTCTTTTCTCGTTTCTTCGTGCAATTCTTTAATAACATCTAAAGTAGCCGAATGACTTTTATGCTTTTTTTCCTCCTTTTCCTTTTTCTTTCTATTGCTCGCTGAACCCATCTCCTTTCTATTGTCAGAGTTATAAACTGGATTGAAAACTGGATCATCTTCGAATATTTTTTACATTTGTTCTTCATATTCAAAATGCATAGTTTCCGCTCCTGTACACTTATTGTTATCAATCACAAGTTTATAACCTTCGACGAGTTTGTCCCATCTTAATAAAGAACAATATTAAATATAAAAAACATTGTTATATAGAATTAAAAATGAATTAACAAAAAAAGACCTTTTTTTGAAAGCAGTTAGTGTTCTGCCAGGTGATTTTTTGTTGAAATTATCGAACATGACTTCCCAAATTCTGGCTCTATGAGCATTGTTTTTGGTATTATTAAGACTTCTCCAATGTTCCAAGATAATTTCAAGCAGTATAAGCGTCTCATTATAATTCCATTCTTTACGTCGTCATACAGTCGTCTCTTCAAGTTTATAAATATTTTTCAGCACTACCCCACATGAAAAATAATATAATTAATGAATTCTTACCTTGATCAATGATAACGATGTCATCTAAGTTGGATGTCTGGAAAGCATTCGAACTAGAAGGTGTAAAATCTTGTGAGCAGTCAATGAAAATGGAATCCATCATTCACTAACGCTTCTCAGTCTTGATGGCCGTAAGAAAAAAATCGTTGTTGCCAATTGGAACAATTCTCCAATAGTTTCTTATAACAAGGACTTTATTATTACGTATTGTAACACGGGAAAGTGGCGATGCATATGTCACCAACATTAGATGCCAAGACATATCGCGCGCCATAATTAAATAAGCCACGACGAAACAATAGCCGACGCACATGAAGTTATGGAAAGCTTTGGTGGGAAGTATCACATAAGCAGAGAAAGACCGGGCGAAGTCACATGCCACGTCTCTGCTTGGTAAAATTAACTAATTATGTAAGATGACAACACAAACGATGATTGTGTTATGTAATAGCTTCGCCGTGATTTAATATTTTTACTCTTTTTTCTTTTGTTTATTCTATTTTTATTGTCGAATCTTATGTAATTACTGAACAATTAATAAATCAATTCTCGGCTATAATCAAATCCGCCTCTTGAGTGTTCTCTTTTATTTAATAAATTAAAGTGACAGCTGCGCGAATTCTGTTCCCATCTGGGGACAGGCTCGCCGCTAGCCTGTCAAAAAAATTTGTTACAAATTTGGTAGTGACTGTAAGATCCGACGTGTTGTTACCCCCCGAGGAAGTTCAATCTTCAAGGAGCAACGAAAGCGACGTTGTGTCCGCGACGATCGGAGAAACAAAGACCAATTCGGCTGCTGATATATGCCGAATAGAGAAAGAGGCATCATCCTGACCTAAAAGAAGTCCTAAACCAGCGATAGAAGCTCCGGAATGGCTTGCGCAGAAGAAAAGCGAAGCCTGAAGAACGAAGATCACGGGATCGGCGGTATATGCGCCTCCCCCTAAAAAAAAATAATAATAAAAAAAAAAAAAAAAAAAAAAATGATGAATTAATGACGCCGTAACAATGGGAATTCGCCGCCCCTGCCCAAAGAAGCAACAAAGAATGATTCACTTTTTGGAACAGTAGAAGCTTCGTACCGGCCTTTCACGATGCTCGAGCAACGGTATCAGTTAGAAACAGAATTACTTAACCTAAGGCAGAGAGGGAACGAAAGGAGCGGTCAAAGCCACATTAGAGATTGAGGATGCTAGTTGCAACATACCCCGGACCAAGAAGATACTTATCTCTCAGCGAGGATAATGCCGGAATGCCGACGATCACGAAAGTCGCGACGCCGAAAGAAGCAAGGGACGAGTTCCTAAAAGGAAGAAAGGACCGTCCAGTAACGGCAAAGAACTAAAACTTACCGACGAGACTCCGGTAGCTCATGCCAGAGACGTTGATATCGCCGAGGGTCAAGGAGAACCCACGGATGGCGAATCGGACGTCGAGAGCATAGGGTTAGGAAAGAAGGAATGGTAAGAAAGAGTTAGAAGCCATTGGTAAAACGTCGCAAAAAGAAAGAAAACGCCGTGACTTACCGGAATTACATCAAGACGAGAGAATACGACCAAGACCGATGATTGGAAACGCCAAAATGCCATCATAATCGTGATTACGATCACGATCACGATCGAAAAAAAGTTTAATTATCTTACGAGTCGGATAATGCACGTCTAGAACATATATGCATGCATATATATTCTCAAAGATGTCAGAGCAACAAGGAAAGTTTAATACTCCAACAAGCCCTCCCGCAATAATCAACACCATCATCATCATGAGGAAGATGACTACCAACCGACGTTGATGATGATGACGACGACTACTCAGCCGGTCCAACTGAAACTCCAACTGTTGATTGATAACGACCTAGATAATGACTACTATGACAATAAGCAACTTCTACTCCATGCGAATCTGAAGAAACTACCCAGAGGCCGAAGAAGATCCCGAAAACAAGGAAGACTCAGACAACGCTGAAGCACGCCGCGACCAAGAACTATACGATCTACAAGAAAAAAAAAGGGGGGAAGACCACGACAAGAAAATGGCAAGAACCGTAAGGACGATGATGATGACGACAGAATAGAGAAAGAAAGCCCATATAAAGAGAAAAGAAAAATGCGTGGTACGCATACGATAAGCATGGGGGAGATGTAAGGGGATAAGTTGAGACGCGTCGCGTATCACGTGACTGATCGTCACGAATGGTACGCAAGGGAAACTGGTTCTTAGTTGGCAGTGCGCGATTATATAATGCGGGGGAAGAAAGGAGGGATTGTAATAAAAGGACTTATGTAATCCAAAACCCAGCCTAACTATTGTTCTTAAGAGTATAGCCGCACTAGCCTCTGTAAATAAAAAGATGTATAAAAAGAATAGATGAAAAATAATAAAGAGACACACGATATTACAAATAATAAAAATACCCAAATAATACTCGCCCAAATCAAAACATGCCTCCTTCACCTTAAGTATTACTTACACTTACCTTCGTTACGCGAAACTTTGTCTTCCTTAGCGACTGACTCGCCGTTATGCCCCTCACACCAGTAAGATCCAAAAGAAACAAACAATGATAACCCGTGGTAAATATTTATCCGACCTGTCAAGAAATAAGAAGAAAAGGGCTTGAAAATTAAATTCAAATAACATATCAACAGAAAAATTCAATGAAGTGACAAAAAAAAAAAGTGAATGTCATACTTTCCAGATTTTGATATGCAAAGCTTATTAGATTGAGATTATGTATTACTTGATTTGGAAATCGGTGATCGTCAAATATTTACTAAGTATTTGACTATCAAATAATTATTTGATTGTGCCGAGCACTAGTCTGGAGCCTATCTTGAGCTTATAAATTTTTTCTTGAGGGGTTTGATAGTCTGAATCCCCTTTACTTTTGTACCAAATGATCTGATTGTTTTTCTCTCCGGTTTGTGAGATTTTCCAACTCCAGCAACGATAATCTTTATTTGAGCTAACTGAGAAGAATTTTCTGTCCTGATCTTTTCAGTTCCAATTCTGCCATTCTTTCTTAAGAACATCATAGTCATTGGCGAGTGTTGATCTTAATTTTTTGAACCATAGGGGCACTGGTCCTTTACTGATGTTAGCAAACATTTGTACAATTTTCCATGGAAGCATTGTTTTGGTATCTTTATCGATAAGCTGATCTACAAACATGATTTTGTATTTTCGTAATGATGGAATTGCCTTGTGATACAGATTCGTGTTGTTAAGCTTATTTTTAATGGAAATTGAGCCTCCTTTCCAGTCGAAGTATTCTGCCCACCGAGACAAGCCTACTATGATTCCTAACCTATTTGCCAGTTTTAGTACTTGAGCTGAGAAGTTTTTTGAGCCTTTAAATAATCGTGAAATTTCATCAGTTAGGATATTGATAGGTTCCCAGTTCTGGATCTGTGCTTGTTTAAGGCAAATCAAGGTGGATAAGCTGGCAGGTCCTGTATCGCTTAATCTGTTTATTAAGTTAGAAATCTGATTCTTTGCTTGGATTTCCTTGATACTTTTGATGTTATAGATTTTTTTGTGGTGTATGATTGAGTTGGGAATTGTTGAAACTAGTTCTGCTGTCTGTTTTAAGACCCTTCTTAACTGAGTCGATAGGTTATTGCAAGTATATTGGTCTAAGAAGCAGTGTTGCATCCGGTATTCTATTCTGGGGATTAGAACTCTATTTATGATATATTCTGTGTGTTTATCTGTAATTTTCTTTCTTTTGAGGCAGGAGGCAACTGCTGTAATTTCTTGTTTGAGTCTATATATTGTATCTTTTGTATGTCTTTTACTCCCAATCCATATTCCTAGAAAGCAGGTGAAGCTATTGCGATCATTCTCGATAACTTCTTGTTGGTCCAGACCAATCTTCACAGAGTTTGGTCCCTTGTTACCACTGTTGATAGTAATCAGGACTGATTTGTTGCCATTGATTTGTGAGTCATTTGCTGCATAGAATCACTTGGCTCTTTCTAATATATTTTCCATGTCTTTTTCAGATCTGGCAATCCATGTTGTATCATCCATGTATGCTATTGCAGCTTGTCGAATTGAGATTTGCTATGAGGTATCGTCCTTACTGAGGTCGCTTTTCCATTTGCAGTTCATAGTATATCCTAGTTTTGTATTATCTTGAATTTCACATAGTAAAGGGTCATAGAAGATATGCCATAGAAAAGGGGAGATCATTTTTCCTTGATCTATTCCATCCCCAGCAATTATTTTTTTTGTTATTCCCACGTCAATGATTACTTGAAGAGATCTGTCCTTAAATAATTCCAGGATTAGTGTTGCTAGGTAAGCTGGGATCTTGACTCTTTATAATGCTCTTTATAACATTTCTAGACTGATCGTGTCATATGCTTTTGCTGTATCTTGAAACAAGATCCATAATTCCTTCTTTTCCTCTCGTGCTTCTTCGCAGATATTATTTAACAGGTGGATAGGCTCTGATGTGCTTTCTCCAGGTAGTCCTGCAAAGTTGGATCCTTTTAGGATATTGTGTGTCTTGCATACCATAGATATCTGATTGGTGATGATCTTGGTAAAACATTTTCAAGAGACATCTAAAAGTACTATTGGTCTAGTATTACTTAGGATGCCCTGCCATTCTTTGCCCTTTGATATTGGATAAAAAAGACTTTCCTTCCATGTTGAGGGAATTACGTTGTGGGCTAAGTATGTGTTCATGAGTTGATATAAAGTTTTTCTTCCAAATGCTCCTAGGTTTTTAAGCATTTCGTATTTGATCTTGTTAGGTCCTGCTGCTTTGTTCTTTGGAAGATCTATGAGAACATCTTCCAGTTCAGTTTCACTAATGGTATTCTTTGTATTCTTGTACTATTCTTCCTTTATTTCAGCTTTAGGGGCATACTGGTCTTTTCATTTGTCGTCCAACAGCTCAAAATTGTTGTTTCGCTTCTTGAAAGTACCTTTGTAATATGTCTCTGTTTGACATAGGATTTCTTCTTTGTCTATTGACATATACTCTCTTTCCTGATTATCTTGAACCCGGATCCTGTCTATGACTATCTTGTCTCTGAAGTTATTTGTCAATCCTTGTACTACTTTTCTCTGGTTTTCTTTGAGATTTTTACATCTTTTTCAAATTGCTTCTTTGATTTCAGAGTTTATTTGGTTTCTTTCTTCGCTGAGGCAGATCTTTTTTAAGAAGGTAGCTGTTTTTCTAAACTGGGCTATCAACATGTGTTTTTTTTCTTCTTCCTCTAATATTGTTGCGAGCTTATGTATAGATTCAAGAACTGGTACTATCGGTGCAATGCTCTAATTGATTTTCTTAAGTTCCTTCCATAGCTTTTGTTTTAGCTCTGGTCCCTCCCCAGGGTCTTTTAGTTTGATCCAGATATTAAGTATCTTGTTCACCAAATGGTAGCTGTAGAAGGCTAACTGTTCTTTACGATTTTTCTTTTTATTTTGAGACTTGATTCTTTCTCTTGCTGTTCTCTTCTTATAGTGTAACTGATTGAAAGCTGTGGATATGAGGACTTTTTCAAACAGCTCCCAGGATTCTTGGATTAGTTGATTTCATCTGTTGTCGTTAATTTGATTCGAGTTCATAGTCTGAATCTGTTGTGAAATGTTGCTTTGCTGAAGTTTTTGATCAACTTTTTGTGTATACTTTTTCCATTGGGAGTCTGTTGTTTTGTTAATATTGATTATCTTTTCTCTAGGTAGTTTTGATATGCTTGTACCCATCTGATGATCTTTGAGTATGGTACTTCGTACTATTTGGAGGGTTAGCACAGTGTGGTCACTATTAGTTATTGAACGGAAGTCTATATTGCTAAAGTGAAACATGTTGTTTGTTATACTATAAGATCCCCAAATGTAGTCGATCCTGCTAGAGCTTAGTTTGTTCTTCCAAGTATGTGAAGTTTCAGTTGGTTCCCATAATTGTTGTAAGTCTGAGAGATTTCAGTTGGTCATGTAGTCGAATAGTTCGATTTCAGGGTCATCTGATCTGGAAAATTCTGTTGTACTGTTTAATGACTTACGGTCTGTTCTGGGATTTACTGTGGCATTGAAATCACCCATGATAATGATTTCATAGTTTCTTTGTAAGTATGTTTGCAGCAGATCTTGTATTTTCTTCTGCAGTACACGGCTTTGTCTTTTGTCACTGGGTAGGTATATTTGCACAATCCATGTTTTATATCCTTTGTTTAGGAGGTTGATTGCTATTAGGTGATCTTCAATCTTATCTACGGATACTATGTATTTTTCAATGTTTTTGCAAATTAATAATGAAACTCCTGCACTCTTGGGGTTGTTTGGTTTTGCGTTTGAGAAGCACTTGTATTGTTTTTGGTCTGCAAAAGCGAAGTGTTGGTGTTCTTTCGCAAGTTTGGTTTTACATAAGCCCATTATGTCAATTTTCCTTTCCAACAATTCCATTATTAGATTGGCTTGGTCCGTCTCTCGATTGATTCCTCTGATATTGTGTGTACCTATTGTTATATATTGTGTTTGATTGTTGTGATTATTTGAATTTGTTGGTGTAAGATTTCTTTCCTGGCTTTTGTTTAGAAATAGTGTTTTT